TCCCTGCGCTCCATCAGGGAGGTGCTCCCCTCAGAAGATGCCCCTCAGGGACTGACAGTGCCATAGGGAGCATCCGTGCATAGACACAGCAACCTGGGGTGGAAACCAGGCGGCCAGCTCCAGGGATGAGGCGCAGCTCTGCGGACTGTTCTGATTGGCCTGTCTGTCTTGACAACCAGCAAAATCCCTCAGGAATCCCAGCAGCGCGGGCTTGGCTTTTGCAGGGGCTGCACCACGTTGCCACTGCGGGAGTATCTGGGTTTTAAACCGACCCCTCTACATTGCTATCTCCTGTGGCTCCCACAAATAAGGAAACTGAGGCAGACAGGCCCTGTAAGAGTCCTAACCCTGCCCCCTTGGTCACCCCAGGGCACCCCCAGCAGTGACCATCCACACCAGTGGCTCGCTCTCCTCTGCACCCAAAGGTGTCCGCCCGTGCAGGCTCTGCTGAAGGCCACATGAGGGGAAGGTATTAGTGCAGGGGAATTAACACCCCAGGAGTGACCCCCAGCCAAGAAGGGGCCAGAGCAGGTCAATGGTTGCCCGCTTCCTCACCCTCTGGGTACCGGCTCTGGGGTGTGCCCTTCACGGTCACTCCAAAGGTCCCCAGCAAGATGGAGCCCAGCTGCAGGAAGCAGTGGCTGCTCCTTACCTCATCTCTGCCAGCCTCCCTCCCCTTCCCCTCCTCTAGCACCTTGAGATCACCTCCCGAGTAAAACACTGGCACCCCTGGCTCTACTCAGACTCTGTTGGGGGAGAGCCCAGACTAAGACAGGAAAGCCTCACCTCTGGACACACAACTAGTTAGTCTCTGACGGCCATCCTGACGTGGCACTGCCCCTGATGCTGGCCGTCAGATTGACATTTGCACTCACAGAACCTGAGCTCAGCTCTGCGTCATGCGTGCGGGGAACCCTCATTCACTTGGTCGCTTTTGCCGTAGCTTTTGATGTTGCTGGGGGACTTTTTGTTCGCTTGTTAATTTTTGGTGGACACACAGCGGGTGTACATATTTGTGGAGTACATCTCGGTACAGGTGTGCAGTGAGTAATGATCACACCATGGAAAATCGGGTATCTCTCACCTCAGGCATTTATCCTGTGTGTCACAAAGAATCCAGTTACGCTCATTTAGTTATCTGCCCATGCACAGTTAAATTATTGTTGATTACAGTTCCCCGTTGTACTACCAAATACTAGGTCTTATCAGGTCTTAGTTCCTCTCATTTTTTTGTGCCCATTAACCACCCCCTACCGTAGCTTTTGTTGTTGTTGATAGAGTCTCACTCTGTCACCCAGGCTGCAGTGCAGTGGCATGACCTCGGCTCACTGCAACCTCTGCCTCTCAGTTCAAGCATTTCTCCTGCCTCAGCCTCCCAAGTAGCTGGGGTTACAGGTGCCTGCCACCACTCCCAGCTAATTCTTGTATTTTTAGAAGTGTGGATTTCACCACATAGGCCAGGCTGGTCTCGAACTCCTTACCTTGTGATCCGCCCACCTCAGCCTCCCAAAGGGCTGTGACTACAGGCATGAGCCACCTTGCCCAGCTTACCATAGCTTTTTGCCAGCAGCCAGGGAGGCTCCTGACACCCAGTCTGTTCTAGTTCTGTAGATCAGGAGGTTTTCTGGGGGACCAGTATGTGGTCCCAGCTTGGCACCCTGGTGAATGATTAGCAGTGAATACCTCCTTCTCGAAGTTCAGCTACCTGAAGGCAGGGTCTGCTGCTGTGATCCCAGGTGTATCTCAGCCCTAGGATGGCGCCTGGCCTGTGGAGGAGGCTTGGGAAGTGTTTGTTGAACCAGTGAGTGAGTGAGTGAGTGAGTGACTGAGTGAGTGACTGAGTGAATGAGTGAGTGAGCAACTGAGTGACTGAGAGACTGAGTGAGTGACTGAGTGACTGAGTGACTGAGTGACTGAGTGACTGAATGAGTGACTGAGTGACTGAGTGACTGAGTGAATGAGTGAGTGAGCGACTGAGTGACTGAGAGACTGAGTGAGTGACTGACTGAGTGACTGACTGAGTGACTGACTGACTGAGTGAGTGACTGAGTGAGTGAGTGACTGAGTGAGTGAATGACTGCGTGAGTGAATGAGTGAGTGACTGAGTTAGTGACTGAGTGAATGACTGCGTGAGTGAATGAGTGAGGAGTGAGGGAGTGAGTCAGTGAGTCAGTGAGTGAGAAGTGAGTGAGTCAGTCAGTGAGTGAATGAGGGAGTTAGGAGTGAATGAGTGAGTGGGTGAGTGAGTGAGTGACTGAGGAGGAACTGACTGAGTGAGGAGTGAGTGAGTGAGTGACTGAGTGGGTGAGTGAGTGAGTGGGTGGGTGAGTGAGTGACTGAATGGGTGAGTGAGTGAGTGGGTGGGTGAGTGAGTGGTGAGTGAGTAGGTGAGTGAGTGACTGAGTGGGTGAGTGAGTGAGTGGGTGGGTGAGTGAGTGACTGAATGGGTGAGTGAGTGAGTGGGTGGGTGAGTGAGTGAGTGGTGAGTGAGTAGGTGAGTGAGTGACTGAGTGGGTGAGTGAGTGGGTGGGTGAGTGAGTGAGTGAGTGGGTGAGTGAGTGAGTGAGTGGGTGAGTGAGTGAGTGAGTGGGTGAGTGAGTGAGTGAGTGAGTGGGTGAGTGACAGAGTGGGTGGGTGAGTGAGTGACTGAGTGGGTGAGTGAGTGAGTGGGTGGGTGAGTGAGTGAGTGGGTGGGTGAGTGAGTGAGGGAGTGAGTAGGTGGGTGAGTGAGTGGGTGGGTGAGTGAGTGAGTGGGTGAGTGAGTGAGTGGGTGAGTGAGTGACTGAGTGAGTGAGTGAGTGACTGAGTGAGTGACTGAGTGAGTGAGTGAGTGAGTGACTGAGTGAGTCAGTGACTGAGTGAGTGACTGAGTGAGTGAGTGAGTGAGTGACTGAGTGAGTGAGTGAGTGAGTGACTGAGTGAGTGAGTGAGTGAGTGACTGAGTGAGTGAGTGACTGAGTGAGTGAGTGAGTGACTGAGTGAGTGAGTGACTGAGTGAGTGAGTGACTGAGTGAGTGAGTGAGTGAGTGACTGAGTGGGTGAGTGAGTGAGTGTGTGAGTGAGTGAGTGAGTGAGTGGGTGAGTGACAGAGTGAGTGGGTGAGTGAGTGACTGAGTGAGGGAGTGAGTGAGTAGGTGGGTGAGTGGGTGGGTGAGTGAGTGGGTGAGTGAGTGACTGAGTGTGAGTGAGTGAGTGAGTGACTGAGTGATTGAGTCAGTGACTGAGTGAGTGAGTGAGTGAGTGAATGAGTGACTGAGTGAGTGAGTGACTGAGTGACTGAGTTAGTGAGTGAGTGACTGAGTGACTGAGTGAGTGAGTGAGTGAGTGACTGAGTGGCTGAGTTAGTGAGTGAGTGAGTGACTGAGTGAGTGACTGAGTGACTGAGTGACTGAGTGAGTGACTGAGTGAGTGAGTGAGTGACTGAGTGAGTGAGTGAGTGACTGAGTTAGTGAGTGAGTGAGTGAGTGACTGAGTTAGTGAGTGAGTGAGTGACTGAGTGAGTGACTGAGTGACTGAGTGAGTGAGTGACTGAGTGAGTGACTGAGTGAGTGAGTGACTGAGTGAGTGAGTGAGTGACTGAGTGAGTGACTGAGTGAGTGACTGAGTGAGTGAGTGAGTGACTGAGTGAGTGACTGAGTGAGTGAGTGAGTGAGTGACTGAGTGGGTGAGTGAGTGTGTGAGTGAGTGGGTGTGTGAGTGACTGAGTGGGTGAGTGGGTGGGTGAGTGAGTGAGTGAGTGACAGAGTGAGTGAGTGAGGGAGTGAGTGAGTAGGTGGGTGAGTGAGTGGGTGAGTGAGTGACTGAGTGAGTGAGTGAGTGAGTGAGTGACTGAGTGAGTGACTGAGTGAGTGAGTGAGTGACTGAGTGAGTGAGTGAGTGACTGAGTGAGTGAGTGAGTGAGTGACTGAGTGAGTGAGTGAGTGACTGAGTGACTGAGTGAGTGAGTGAGTGAGTGAGTGACTGAGTGAGTGAGTGAGTGACTGAGTGAGTGAGTGACTGAGTGAGTGAGTGAGTGAGTGAGTGACTGAGTGAGTGACTGAGTGACTGAGTGAGTGAGTGAGTGACTGAGTGACTGAGTGAGTGAGTGAGTGACTGAGTGACTGAGTGACTGAGTGAGTGAGTGGTGAGTGACTGAGTGAGAGATTGAGTGAGTGAGTGAGAGTGAATGAGTGAGGGAGGGAGGGAGGGAGAAGGAACTGAGTGAGTGAGTGACTGAGTGAGAGTGAATGAATGAGGGAGGGAGGAGGGACTGAGCGAGTGAGTGACTGAGTGACTAAGTGACTGAGTGAGTGACTGAGTGAGTTACTGGGTGACTGAGTGAGTGACTGAGTGAGTTACTGGGTGACTGACTGAGTGACTAAGTGAGTTACTGAGTGAGTGACTGAGTGACTCAGTGAGTGAGTGAATGGGTGAGTGAGTGACTGAGTGAGTGAGTGAGTGACTGAGTGACTGAGTGAGTGAGTGAGTGACTGAGTGACTGAGTGACTGAGTGAGTGAGTGGTGAGTGACTGAGTGAGAGATTGAGTGAGTGAGTGAGAGTGAATGAGTGAGGGAGGGAGGGAGGGAGAAGGAACTGAGTGAGTGAGTGAGTGACTGAGTGAGAGTGAATGAATGAGGGAGGGAGGAGGGACTGAGCGAGTGAGTGACTGAGTGACTAAGTGACTGAGTGAGTGACTGAGTGAGTTACTGGGTGACTGAGTGAGTGACTGAGTGAGTTACTGGGTGACTGACTGAGTGACTAAGTGAGTTACTGAGTGAGTGACTGAGTGACTCAGTGAGTGAGTGAATGGGTGAGTGAGTGACTGAGTGAGTTACTGGGTGACTGACTGAGTGACTAAGTGAGTGACTGAGTGAGTGACTGAGTGACTCAGTGAGTGAGTGAATGGGTGAGTGAGTGACTGAGTGACTGAGTGAGTGAGGCGGGGCAGGGAGCCGGAGCCCTCCGAAGGCCCGTCAGGAGCACCCGATGGTGAATGGCGTCTCTTTTCTTCCGCCCGCAGCTGCTGAACTCCCTGTCTGTGGACCCTGACGCCAAGTGCAGGTATGGCCTATACTTCCGGGACGGCCGGCGCAAGGTGGACTACATCCTGGTGTACCATCACAAGAGGCCCTCGGGCAGCCGGACCCTGGCCAGGAGGGTGCAGCACGGCGACACCCCCTTTGGGGCTCGCAGCCTCAAGCAGGACCACCCCCTGCCGGGCAAGGGGGCACCGCTGGACGCAGGCTCGGCCGAGCCCCCCATGGACTACCACGAGGACGACAAGCGTTTCCGCAGGGAGGAGTACGAGGGCAACCTCCTGGAGGCCGGCCTGGAGCTGGAGCGGGACGAGGACGTAACTATCTCACTGCGCGCTGGCTTGTGGGGCTGGGCTGCGTGGGGGGCAGCCGGGGGGCTGCTTTCATAATCAGAAGGTGTGAGGCTGGTATCTTGTTTTAGCTTTAAGCTGTTCTTACAGAAGACGAGGAGGTCTTCTGAGGGAGCAGTGTGGCTTGGCACCCTGGTGACTGATGAGCAGTGAATACCTCCTTCGGGAGTGAACACCGCTCTTGCTCAGGTGGGGTAGAAATTGCTTTTGAACAGCACTGGGGGCGCCCCGAACCTCTCCTCCAGCCACAGCTGCTCTGGGAGAGGGGCTGGCCTTCGAAGCCGCAACCTTAGGGTCACAGCGTTTCCTGCTTCTGGTCAGCTCCTTTCCTGGGAAGATTTGCCCGATCAGGGGGAGGGAGGACGAAGCTCTCCTGGGAGTCTTCCTGGATGGCATCTGCCCCTCTCTGGGCATCAGTTTCCCGTCTGTAGAGCGAGGGGTGGGTCTGGCTGAGCGCTGGGCGTCCCTGGTGCTCAGAAGTCCGTGGCCTTGTACATGGTGTTCTGCAGCCTGCTCCCTAGCAAAGCCTGTGAATCTTCCTAGGAGAAAGATTTCAAGAGATAACAAAAGGGTCCACCCACCTTGCGTGCCCGGCTGCTGTGAGGCCGAGGGTGCGGCTGTGTGCAGAGAATGACTTTAGCTGCCCTGGCACAGCGGTGCTTCCTTCAGCAGCTCTGGGGCTGCTGTGTGCTCCACGGCTGACATCTTAACCTCTCTGTGCACGGGAGCCCTTCCTCCCATGAATAGTGGGGGAAGGGCCCCAGTCTGCAGAGCCATCACGGTGCAGATTAACCGAGAATGAGCAAAGTCTCCAAAACACATGGAAAGCAGAAAAAGTCGTCGGCAAGTTAGGATGCCGTGGCGCCACCTGTGAATGCCGAAAATGAAAGGTGGCGTTGGTTTGATATTTCATCCACAGGCACCGCCGTGTCCTTACGTCACAAATGCTTTTGGTCCAGTGATAAGAATGTCCTTGGTGTATTTAGACCAAAAAGCAGCTTAATTAGGGAACCTGTGTTTTGCAACAAGCAGATATTGCTTTCCCTGAAAAGGATCCAGTGTGCTCCGTGGGGCCTCCCTGGGCCCTGAGCTAGTGAGTCAAGGGGTCTTGTTTAACCTGGGGCATCTGTCTGGGTCTCCTTCCACCTTCTCCCGGCAGGAGATTGTGAGTTCCGCCACCCAGATGGGTGTCTTTGGAGTTTCAAGGCTGTGGCAGGGGCCTTCCAAATTTTGACGTTCAGGAAGCAAAAATTTGATCCCGACAAGGATTCAGAGACTTTCTCCCCGGCTTTGGGGGCAGCAGCTGGGGAACAGGGACTTGGAAGGGAAGCATGTCCTGCCCAGCTTTGTCTTAGAGAGGCGAGCTGTCGATTCCTGCTGGGTTTTCACCTGGTCCCTCCCGCCAGTCCTGTGGATTTCAGAACAATACAGCTACGATACAGGGTTTGTTTCAGCGTGTCAGCTTATAACTGAAGGAATCGGCTCCGTCAGGGGCACAAGAGACCAGGGAAGCTTGGGGGCCGAGGCCGCTCTCTGGGAGGTGACGCTGAGGGAGCTGGGTTTTGAGCTCCGTGGTCCTTGTGCCTCGTCTGTTTCCCAAGGGGCTGACGCTCCAGCCCACCCTTCCTTCCTGACTACAACTCTGAGGTCTTGCGCTCCACAGAACCTTCTGGGGTCTGGTCATTCTGACTGACTTATGCCAGATCCCAGACTTCCCACTTCATCCTGGTGGAAAGGCTGGGCCTCAGTTTCCCCATTTGTAAAATGGAGATAGCAAGAGTATCTGCATCACTGAGTGATCATAAGTAACCTTTGCAAAGTGCTTAATTCAGAGTCTGTCGTGCGGCAGGTCCTTGGCTGATATTGTATCGTGTAGTACAGCAGCAGTTAGGGCCAGAAAAGGCCCTTTCTCGTTAAATAGGATCTCATAAATATCTTTTTAAACATTTCATCTTCTTTATCATGACTTTGAAATAAAAAACTAAACATAAGGACATTGGCTGCTGTCACCAAAATAATCTACTTTTTACCAGTGAAATGACCCCAACATTTCCTTGGTAATTTGGCTCGAGAACTAAGAGGCTTTTCAGCAGTTGGCCTGGCCATGTTTAAGAAGAAACCACGAGGCCAGGCGCGGTGGCTCATACCCGTAATCCCAGCACTTTGGGAGGCTGAGGCAGGTGGATCAGGAGGTCAAGAGATCGAGACCATCCTGGTCAACATGATGAAACCCCGCCTCGACTAAAAAACATACAAAAATGAGCTGGGCATGGTGGCGCGTGCCTGTAATCCCAGCTACTCGGGAGGCTGAGGCAGGAGAATTGCCTGAACCCAGGAGGCGGAGGTTGTGGTGAGCCGAGATTGCGCCGTTGCACTCCAGCCTGGGTAACAAGAGTGAAACTCCGTCTCAAAAAAAAAAAAAAAAAAAAAGATGAAACCACGATTGCAGGGTAGATGCGTTCATTCAAGTTTTCAAAGAGTTGAAGTTGAGATGTTCCCACATCCCTGCTGGAGGCTCTCAGATCATAAACTGTTTTATGAGGGCTTCCTGGAAACCCCGGAGCTCTCGTCTGAGCTGCACCAGCCCCCAGGGCTGTTGGAAGGAGCCACGGTTTGGGCCGCCTGTTGCCTTCCCTGCTCTCCTGGAGATGGGCAGAGCCAGATCTATTAAAAGGTTGCTTGGGTTCCTGCAGCGTCTGAGGTGTGTGCCGGCCCCTGCCAGCATGGTTAGCAGACAGAGCTGCAGCCGTGTTCATTTCAGCGGGGAGAGGCACTCTTGGGAATGAACCTTTCCCGGAGGGTGCTCAGATTACAAGGAGCAAAGGGTTTGCAATTTTGGAAACAAGATTGCCTCCAAGAGAGCCCAGTTGCACAATCTTACCCAACTGGAAGCAAAATTCAGGGCTTATGTGAGCTTTCCTGGGGCGAAAGATCTGCAGAGTCTGTCAGATACTCGCACGCTCTATGAAACCCTCCCCCTGAATGAAGACTGGTTGCTTTGAAGCAGGTCATATTTAACAGCGTCCCCGGCCTCTACCTGGCCAGTGGCACCACCCACCTCCCTCCCTGAGTTACAAAAACAAACCAGGAATGTCCCCACACATTGCCAGTGTTCATGGGGGCAAAACCGCCCCCAGTTGAGAATCCCGCTCTGAAGGCGGAAGCGGACCTGGAGGGAGAGACAGAGGGACAGATCAGCAAGCAGGTCCCCTGGGGGGTGCCAGCCACCTCCAGGACTGTCCGCTGCGGCCAGGACAGGCAGCCTCTCGGAGGTCACCGGCTGTGCAGGTGTGACCTGGCCTTAGTTCCTGGAGTGCCCGTGGGAGTGACAGTCTGTGTCGCTCCTGGATGAAGTGTGCTGTAAGCCCCACACATCTGTGAGCAGCCCCCAGCCCCCGTGTGTGCATCCTCACTGAGTCGGGAGGTTCATTGTGTCGAGACATCTCAAGGCGACCTGGAAGACCGGCCTGGCTGACTGCACAATGGGACCGGTTTTTGGAGACCCGGTAACAGCTATGTCGTGCCCTGCACCTGCCATAGCAAAGGGCCACAGGCTGGGGGCTTAAAATCACACAAATGGATGCTGTCGTGCCAGCAGGGCCGTGCTCCCTCTGAAGCTTCCAGAGGAGGGCCCTTCCTGCCTCTCCCAGCTCCTGGGTCTCCAGGTGTCCTTGGCTAGTGGCTGCATCACTTTGATGTCAGCCTCTGTGGTCACTCGGCCCTCTGTTGTGTGTCTCTGTGTGTCCGCTTCTTGTAAGGACACCAGTCACTCTCCTTAGGGCGAACCCCTACGCCTTTATCTGAACTCCATTACAAAGCCCCTGTTTCCAAGTGCGATTCACATCGGTAGGCCCCAGGAGATAGGACTTGATAGTGTCTTTGTAGGGGACGCCTTTCAGCCCATTCCTGTAGCTGAGATGCTGCACGAGGCAGGTCATCCGGAGTGGGCTGCCTTGGATGGGGCAGGCTGGAGCCAGGGGGTAGCAGCATGGGGCAGGGTCACGGCTGAGGGCCAGGGTGGGCCGGATGGTCTGAGAGAGTGTGACAGGCTCCAGCCTTGTCCTGGTCTGCCTCGCTGCAGGGTCCAGGAGGCACACAGGAACCCCCAGCGTTGTCAAAATGCAGGCTCTGGCTCAGCTGATCTGGGGGACCCAGCTCCTGGGGCGGCTGAGGCGCAGTCCTGCTCAAACCGTGCTTTGAGGTGTGAGGAGTGTGGGAAGGGCCTTTGGCGCAAACTGGGAGAGGCCTCCTCAGAGCAAGACCCCAGCGTCCACACAAGCCCTGGTGCACCGTGTGATACCCGGAGCCTGTGCCAACTCCAGCGAGCCTATAGCCATCGGAGGGCGAAGCCATGTCCCAGAGAGACCTGGGGGTGGGTCAAGAAGGCAGGAGCGCTTAGATCACAGGGTGGCCTTCAATGTGGGTTTACAGGAGGAGCTCAGAGGTCCCAGGACAGCTCCGAAGGGCAGGAAAGGGCAGGAAGAGAGAAGCGCTCCAAGGCAGGGGCCAGAGCTTCAGGATCTCTCCCCTCTCGCTCCCTCTCTCCCCTATTCTCTCTCTGTCTCCCTCTCTGTCTTATCTCTCCTCCTCGCCTCTTTTTCATCTCTGCCTCTGTCTCTCTCTCACTTCTCTCTGTCTCTCTGTCTCTCTCTCCCTCCGTCTCTGTCCTTCTTTCTCTTTTCCTCCCTCTAAGTCTCTCTCCCTTCTCTCGGTCTCTTCTCCCTCTCTCTCCCTTCTCTCCTCTTTCTTCCCCTCTGTGTCTCTCTCTTTCTTCCTACCTCCCTCTTTTTCACTCTACCCCTCCCTCACTTTCTCTCTCTCTCTTCCTCTCTGTCTCTCATTCTCCCTCCCCCCTCCCTCTCCATCTCTTTCCCTCTCCCTCCTCTTCCCTCTCCATCTCTTTCCCTCTCCCTCCTCCTCCCTCTCCATCTCTTTCCCTCTCTCTCCTCCTCCCTCTCCATCTCTTT